GCAAGCATCAAATTAAAATATAAATATCGCTTTACAACACCTACTGCAGAATGATGAATGCTAACATCACGTCCATATAGTAAGGACAGTAATAATATAATTGGGCAACACCAAAATAATTCAAGACTATGTTTGATGAATGTGCAACATAAATCAGTTTCCATTAAACAACTAAGAAATACTATTGTCAAAAAAGTAAGTATCCTAAAATTAATGTAATGATGTAGACGATATGTTTAAGATTTATCTCTATATTAAACTTTGCGTGTGTACCTTCAATATTTCATTACTTCTTACGACAGGTCCATTGCTCTGCCCAAACAGAGCTCTCCCGTTGTCCTTATTCTCGGCTTCTCGCTTTAATTCCTGGAACGTCATCTTCTTTCCTTGTTTAAGGTCGTCGGTTAGCTGTATCAATCTTCTTCCTAGTCCTTTCTTTCCTTCAACCTGGCCTTCGGTGATATCACTCATTAATCCATTCCTTCTCATAATATGTCCCAGCCAGTTGTTAGCTTTCCTTCGTGTAATCGCCTGCAGAATGTTTCTTTGCTCGTTGACTCTCCTCAATACTTCTTCGTTTGTCACTCGATCCGTCCACCTGATCTTCTCTATTCTTCTCCAACACCACATTTCAAACCTCTCCAGGTATTTCTGTTCCTTCTTCCTGAGTGTCCAAGTCTCTGCTCCATATGTAACACTTCACTAGTTTCTTCTTCATCTCCAAGCCCAACTTGCTAGTGAGAAGTATCCTCTTCTTGACGAAAGCTGCCTTGGCCATGGCTATCCTTGCTTTTACTTCCTTGGTGCATAGGGCGTCCGTCGTGACTATGCTTCCCAAGTACTTGAAATGCTCCACATTCTCCATCTGTTGGTTTCCAATTACAACGTTCAATGGTTCTGCTCTCGGTGCTATCCTCATATATGAAAAAATTTAAATTTTTCACTGGACAGAATGTGGTAAAGAAGTATGTGTCTAAAAAATTCAACTTCTCGTCATCCACAGTTTTGAATTAGTGGATGAGTAATAAAGAACAAATTTTATCTGCATTCAAGAAGAATCTCACCACAAACTAAAAGATAAGAAAATGTGGATTTTGCATTGAAAAAGCAGTATTGGAATGGTTTAAGTTGCAGAGGGATGCTGGTTTCCCAATTAACAATCCCATTTTGAAGATCCAGGTAGAAAAATTTGCAGTCCAATTATGACATAAGGACTACAGCTGCAGTAATGGATGGCTTGTGTGTTTTAAACACCATTACTGAGGGTGAGCCCCTTTTTTCTGAGTGGCTGAAACAAGGTGAAATAAAAAACCTTTGAACATATTCGTTATATTGAAGATTTCTTTAATGATAATAATGATTTGGTAACATCATTAAAACCTGCAAATGACAGCACAGTAGATGCAATATTGCAGAAGGAAGACAGTGATGAATGCACTGGAGAAACAGTGAGCCATGTATTGTATAATCATTTATTTTAATTTGATGTGTGATTTGTGTTTTTATATTCTTGTGTAGTGAATAATGGTTATAATAAGCAAAACGTTTGGTCCTGCTGCACTCATTATTACTGAGTTTATTGTATTATTTTGTGTAAGTGGACTTTTTTTACAGTGGTAAATATTATTTTATTTCTCACCAGGATACAGGGAATGAATGGTAACTTTGAGATCAACAAAACAGAATTGTCTTCAGATGTCCGCAAGACAGCATGTGTAATACCTTCATGTGCACCGTTTGTACATCGCTACTGACAGGGAAAGCTTCGTGTATCATTAAATAACCTCAGACCAGTTCAATTTTCTGTGGAGAAGGAAAGTAAATCAGTAATCTTGTTGGGAATCGAGTGTAGGATTTGAGGTTTTCAGGACGGTTAGTCTGAAGACTGCTGTCTTCTGGGTTGTTGCGCCGTTGTAACCGCTCATCTGGAAGTAGTTAGGTTTTGTTAGTTTTTCTTTTGTGTGTGTTTCCAGTATTTCAAAATCTTTCTGTAAGATTCTAGCACCACCTGCAGAGAACAAGGGTGGACTTCAGCCCTAAGAGCTAGAAGTCATGTTTAGGCCATCTGGGTAACAATCCGATTTCGACTCCGTCTACGACAGACATAGAAGTGCCTTTAGGAGCAAGTGTGGAGGATCATGTTGGGCGGTCCGTGAGAGGTCTCTCTCTGACAGC